CTACCTGTTATAAGACAAGTATATATACGAGTTCAACTTCTATTGACTGCCAGTGCAACAATTATTATATTTGGTCAGCTAAAAGATAACTAACTATTTCATTTATATGGAGTATATAGTTATTGTTTTGAAAGTGAAAAAATTATTTATATTGTGAGAGTATGTAATAAATTAGTTATTACCCTTCTCTTATGAGTTCCATCAAAAAGTGGGAGTTGATCATCCCTGGAGTGAATCAAGATTGAGAGTATCTTCATGTTATCAATGTGAGGTGTCCTGAGAAGTCGTAGAAGTGCTTCGAATGCATCATGTTGCCTCTTCTCCTCTGTATTATAACGCTTTAAATAAATCTCGCAATTTTAATTTGTTTTACATAACTTATAATAGTAAACATTATAACTTACCAATCTTTTGGTGACAAAGGTTAAGAACCTTTCTGAGATGATCCAATATGTTTGCAAGCTTGTGAGTCAAACTAGATAACTCCCAAGACTCAGATGTTGAAGAAATTTGCCTAATAATATTACACATATTATTCATCAATTTCATGCTTGATAATCTCACCTATTATTGAGTGTTGAAAGAGTGAAGAAAACATACTCATGACCAATGGCAATGAGATTCAGAATCATAGCTGCACACATGACAGCAGCCCTCATAGTCCAATAAGCAGCAGTGGAAATATGGGCAGTATTGATCAACATTTCCAATTCTTGTGTGATAACATGTTGACTGTGAGACGTTTGAATGTCTCTAAACTCGATAATACACTTTGTGACATCCAACATTTTATCGATCAAATCATGAATCGCATCAAATTTCTGCTTGAGAACATCTTGACGACTCATAATTTCTGGAAGTTCCATTAAGATTGCAACAGACTTAGCCAGTGGATCTGTAGTATACTGATGAACAAGCAGACCAAATTCACCATATTGCTGGGCAAAAGCCGCGAATGTTATCACGACTTTCGTGTCCCAGGCATAGGTTGTGAGTGAATGAAGCAGTGACATTGTTGTTGAATGAGCGTCTTCTTTGTTAGCACATTTGCTTATCAACTGTCATATTTACATTTATATATGAACCATCATCATAATAATCGATTAAATTGTATTGATAGTGTAAAGGAAGAATTGTTGTAGTCCGAATGTTCATTTATTGAAAATAAATAAATACTAGTATATATTAGTATTGGGAGAAAAAAGGTTGTAATGCGGGAATCTTAATAGCTCAGTTGGTTGGCTATCTAAACTTCCACCTTCATAGTTATGGTTCAGTTCTCCGCTTCTTAAAAAATATATAGTTGTAATGCACTTACCTCCATACTAATTCTATGAATAGGATATGCCAAATAGTTGAGTATTTCAGTAAGTCCACTGTGGGGAGCCTTCTCTTCCAATGCTTCCAGATGTGCTTGAATCTTAGCTTCCTAAAATTCCCAATTTTTATTTTTTAAAAGAATCATGAAAATAATGTTATTATGATATAATTACAAAGTACGTAATAGTTTAATGTTTTTGATACTGTCAGAATATAGAAATTAATTAAACGGTAAAGAAAAGTGAGGTGGATGATGATACGTACATGAACATGTCCAGCAATGGGAGTAGCGCGATGCACAATGTCCTCAATAATATGAACAAGAGGCTTGACGTCAAAGTCACGGCCATCAGGGATATGAGTTTCTTCAATGTGCCTCATCATAGCATTATCATCAGATGTCAAGAACATATGATGATCACCTCTCCTGTTTGGAGGCCTAGCTGCTAGATTTGATGTTCGTGGATTGATCGGAGTTGTATGATGAGCAGCAGGTACCACAGTAGCTGGTATCTGTTGAGACATAATATAATTAAGTGATTGAAATAACGTGATAAATATCTTAAATGAAATGATCGCACAATTCAAATGTCATACCATGTCATGACTCACTGGTTTAACCACAGAATGAGGATTGATTTGGGCATTCATAGGGTTGATTTGGGTATTCAAAGGATTGATTTGGGTATTCAAAGGGTTGATGTGATGGCCTGTAGTTGGATTACTCATTGGGTGCATCCTATTGGCAGCAGATCCACTTGACATATTATTCATTGGGTTTGTAGTCATTGGGTTATTCATGGATACCCTTTCATTCAATGGGTTAACATTTGCCATTTCAAAGTGATGGAAAAAAAAACTAAGGGTTTTTAGAAAGGCAAGTGTAGTTAAATATTGTTGTGTGTTGAAATAAATTAGGCATGAGAAAGGGTTTATATAAGTTATTGAAATGGTATAATTAAAGGTGATGGTGAATCAAGTTCTTTGCTTCTAATTTGGTCTAAAGTTATGAAAGAGGTTTGGAATTGGTCCTATGAATGGCTCCTATGAAGCAAACATCTTTGTCCTTTCACAGTAAAAAGTAAATTAGACAAAGCACTAATTCTTCTTATCGTTATAATTAAGATTTGGGGTTTCTCATTTTCACGTGATGCATGCTTGTATGCTTGAGTTTAAGTTTTAAACCCACGAAAAACTATTAGATTCGTCCGAACCCACGAACCCCCACCTAGCTCTCCGGCTCCACCCCTGTCCTAAATTAGTTTAAAGGTTTCTTTTACACTATCAGATATTTTTTATGTGTTATACTAATAGATACTATATATGTCTTCTTTTCAAGATTATAAATTTCATATTTTAAGAAGATTTACATGTAAATATCTTTACTTTGAAAAAATTGCATGATGAAGGACATGCATGGAGGGTAAGTATCAACCAAATAAGATGAGTTTTGGAATTAACTAAAGACTTTAAACTATATACATTGGTAGGGCAAGTTACATTTTATTTGTTATAGCTGATAACTTGCCTTATTTTCAAATTTACAAATCCAATCTTTATATGAAAATTACAGCTTGTAGATATATTTCAGGTGAGCAAATTGCGTAAAAATTTCTTTACATTATTAGTATGTACATATAAGTTATAAGACTCATTTTCTCATGTTAATGAAAGATTTGTTATTTTATACTTCAAAATCCCTAAAAGTACATCTCAAAATAAAAGGTATGAAGATGCAATGCATTAAATTTCTAGCCTTTGCTTCATTCTGAAAGACTATTCACTTTTGTTGATTAATTAAAAACAATCACTAATAAGATATACATTAGATAGTATAACTGGGATAAAATAGTTTCAAAAAGTTTAATTATATTATAACTTATAACATATGCTCTTCAAAGTTCAAATTTCCTATCTCATAATTTATTTTTGTCAAGTTGAAAAAAATAAACATGTCAAATCGTAAAGTGCTAGAGGTATCAAGAAAATCTAGCTAAGAATCAAGATTTATATTTTTTCACTTTTTCTGGTTACTTCAAAGGGATGATTTTGTGGAACAAATTTGAAGCTTGGGAATATTGCAAAGTATAATTAAACATTTGAAAAAGCAAGGAAGTTGTTCTTGGTAAAAGAAAAGGTAACTGAATATAAAAAAGGACAAAATGTTTAGTAGAAGCTGAGGTAAAATCTTTACATTGAGAATGACTTCTCATACACCAATCATGGGGTGCTTTAATTTATTTGCTTGCTTCACTCTTTTTTTGTTACTTCTTTCTCTTTTTCTTTTTGAGGATTTTAATGTTGGTTTTCATCTTTAACTTTAGTATTAGTAATTAGTGTGAAAATGGTCTTTCAAAAAAATCCTTCTTCCTCCGCGAGGTAGGAATGAGATTTGCGCACACTCTGCCCTCCTCAGACTCCACTACAACAAAAGAAACATTTTTAGTGACAATATATTTTTCTTTTGTTGCCGCAAAAACATTTAGCGGGTTGATGCAATTACGAGTCGCTAAACGGTATTTAATATAAAGTGTTCATTATAAGTACTCATATTTATTATTGTCCCTAAATATAATATAGCGACCATTATATTATTGTCGCTAAATAATTGCCACAAAATCATGTTGTTGTTAATATGTGCAGCAGATGAGAAAAGAAATTAAATGATCCACTGGATGTTCTGAGATAAGTGAAATTTTCCTCTTAGAACCATATATATACATATAACATATGACTCTTATTTGGTATAAAGAAACAGAAAACACTTAAAGAATATTTTGCATGATGTGCAATAGAAAGTTGCAAGTTAATTTAAGTTTTAGTCTCTTCCATTACAGAAAACTGAAGCTCATATTTGATTGCATGATATGCAAACACCATTCATTTCATCATATTTAGATTAAAAAAATTGATCACTCTTGTAATTAGTCTTAGTAGTTATGTTCATCTCATGATACTTACACTTGTAGTTAAGGCATTTTAGTTCCATTTTAACTTACCATAAAGAAAGGGAGCTTTGATGTAATTGATAAAGTTGATGGTATGTGACTAAGAGGTCACGAGTTCGAGCTATGGAAATAGCCTCTTGCAGAAATGCAGGGTGAGAATGCATACAATAGACCCTTGTGGTCCGATCCTTCCTCAGACCCCACACATAAAAGAAGCTTAGTGCACCAAACTGTCCTTTGACCAATCCTCTCCTCACTTAACATTGAATTAAAGTAATTAGGGATACTAGTGCTCTTTTATATGCTTTTATTATTTATAAATAACTTTTCTAAAGTTTCAAAGTTGAATATAGGTGATTCTCTCAACAAAAAAAGAAAAAAAACCAATCATAGGGCTAAGGGTGTACAAGCTATAGGACAAGTAGTCTACTAAATGGAACTTAGTTTCATTCAACTTTCAAGTTCTAACCTGAAATTGAGCAGACAATACTTATAAGCTTACTAGTTCAAACTAAACCAACACTCTTTAACTCTTCAACATAAATGTTTCACCATCTCATTGAGACAATTTTGTCATACAAAAAAAACATGCATGGTACTGCATTACATTTGTTTTTGAAATTTAAGAGTAAATGTGTTAATGCAGCACTGCAGATCACTCATCAAGAATGCCTACTCACAATGAGTTTGTTAAAGTTCTATGTAATAAGACCTCACTAAGAAAATATATATTATTTCAAAAGCTAATCAATCTTTGCCTCCTGTTCTGCTTCTGCTGACTCTGTTACATTACATTGGTAGACAACAAACTTCTCCACAGGACGCTTACAACGCGAGCAAACTACAGTTTCTTCAGTCAATCCTTCTTCAGCTGGAAGGATCTCGTTGTGATAGCAGGGTTTAACAGGCAGAGGAGATCCCATTGCACATCTAATAGCACTAAATAATCCCAACTTCGCGACATTTTCAGCCAATTCAGGAACAAGATTTAAGCATTCTTGGACTTCTCTCCCCTTGAGGATCATTACATCAGTTGATAATCCCTTTCCAATGATCATCCAATCATTCGAAGTTTCACAAGCATCCAGCAATCTTAACACTTTCTGTAAGCTGCTGCTATAGTGAGCTGCTTGTTCTACTCTAGCAACTGAATTCTTTATGCTCTCCAGCCTAAGCCAGAACAACTTCATCTTCGTCGTAGATAGGGAAATACTCAAATTTTCTTCAATGCTGATGTCTAAAATGATCTCTGCAACTTTAGATGGATTTTTATAGCCAACATAAACAGCTTCAAGCTGAATTCCAGCACTTTTAATTTTCTTTAATGTATCGTTAAGTTCTTTAATCCAACTAATGTTATCACTTCCGTAGATGCAAAAATGTTTACCCTCCTCTACCTAACATCAAAAAAATATATATCTTCTGTTGGTTAACAACTAAAAGCACAAGTAAAGAATATTAGATTATTGGTTAAAAGGCAAAAGGTTACCAAATTGGTCAATAAAGGGTCAATCCCATCAATTAAAAGCTCCAAGATCCTGTTTTCCTGTTCCCACAACTCTTTTTCTCTTGAGGTTGAAAAAGGAAATGCTTTGGCCCCCCATAGCCATACCATGTCAATAGCATTTAAGTTTGTGACAACACCATCAGTGCTTAATACTACCATTACGGGCTCGTGTTTGTAGCTCCATTCTTGTCTAATGAAGTTTACCACAGAGGAATGTAGTGACCATGGGTGTCGGATTGATAACCAGGGAAATGAATTTGACAGAAACTGGAAGTTCATCTCATCAGTCAAACTCCAGGTTTGTGAATATGGAATTGGAACCCATATAATTGCATAGCTTCCTCCAATCTCTTTATGTAACGGATGATCATGCATTCGTTGTACTAGATAAAATATTTTTTCTGTGGTAAAGAGTTCTGGTTTTGAGATCAAGAGTATGACCACCTTGTTTTCCAGTTCTTGGATGCCACAATACTGCTAGCATTCATTTGTTAACTCACAAGACTACTGATTCTCCACTTACATATTAAGAAAATAACTTACACAGAAGAAGAAGAAGTACCTTTTCTAGTGAGCTATCTTTCAGTGGTAAGTCATTCTTCAACGAGAACAACACACGAAGCACCTCTTGATTGTCAAAATGGGACACTTTGAAAAGATTGCGTATCTTTTCAGGAAACCTTCTACCTGAGAACAACAAAAGAATTTCAACTTCTTTTCATGTGAATTTTGTCGAACAAGATATTCTCTATAATAAGGGAACATAGAAAGATAATCACCTATTTGCATTTGGCATGTACGTAATTTCTCTCTGAGGTCATTGCATAAGCCACTTAGCTTGTATACCAAGCTGAAGAGAGTCCATGCTGCAATGCTTGTTGAATTTGAATGCCTGGAGTTAGGATTTTTCGCGTCAACTTATTTACTGGTGAAGAGATCATGAAGAACTAACAAACTAAAAGATATTATATACTAAATGACTTAAATGAAGGGTAAAGGGAAAAAACATGCACTTGGTTATCTTTCATGGTCCTGAAATCTGCAATCTGAGACGCGCATGATATCGAGCTTCTTAAAATCCAGTAGACTGTTATGTACATCTTCGACTTTGTAACAACAATTGCATCATCATCTAAAAGTTGCTGTTGCAAAGGCAGGCCTTCAAAGTCGAGGACAAGATTTGCTGCCTCTATCATAGTATCGATCAACAAGTTCAAAGCTTTTAATTGTATCTTTAACATGTTCAATTCTTTAGGCATTTGCTTAAGTTTTGCAGTTAAAGCTGCCAAAGAGTTGCGATGGACTAGCTGTGTTATGAGCCAAAACTCGCCATATATTGAAACAACAGCTGCAAGTGTTACAACTACTTTAGCATCCCATCTGAAAGGGCCTAAAGTTTCAAACAAAATCATAGTTTCTTCATGTAAGTCTCCATTCTCGTGGTATTTGCAGAGAATCTACGATAACCAAATTATTTTATTTAGCTCCAAGAACACGAACAATGAGGAAGGGAACAAAATATACTTGTATGATTATAAAACACAGAGAAAGCACTTACCTCATGTGAAATCTTTTTAATAGTGTATCCAAGCTTTTCTTCCAATCCAAACACTTCAACATTCCATGAATTCGTATAATTGCTTTGAGGAACAGAGAACTGAAACGAAAAAACACCAGACGCTGTCATGCTGCTACATTAAATTATATGCCTAAAACTCTTACTGTCTTGTTTGTCGGATCCTCCAAAAACTGCACTATTTTAGAGGATCCGAAATGCCCACCACAAGTCTGAGCAATATATTAAGCCCACACTTCTTGTTTCTTTTAATGATTGTATATATGGTATTGCACAAGCAATTGATAAATCCATAAGTATTTTACGTAGAACCTCAACGAATACATAAACATAGGGGGGAAAACTCATAATCACAGCTACTTCTGCAATGTTTTTAGCACGGCAGAATAATCCAAGAAAATATACATGAATAAAGAACATATACAAAAGAAGATAACTTGGACATTAAGAAAGAATAGATATATATAACCTTAGGTGAGATGAAATGCATGGTGTTCTCAACAACATGAAGCAATTGACGAGCATCAATCTTATAACGATGATTAGGATCATGGATTCGTAGAATCTTCATAATCAAAAGATCTTCTTGTATAGATGATAGGAGACATGGATCAAATTGTACACCTCTAAGCAAGCTCATGGCCAGAATGATTAAGAGGTCACATAGAATAGAATTCTTTGCTCATAATTCTTTCTATACTTGATCATGTGCATATATGTTCATGTGTTGGAAAAGAAAAAGTGTTCCTGTTTCTACAGTGATATTAAAAATAAGTGGACACCACCAAAAGAAGAGATGCTTATTCAAACTTGTATCAGGGGATTTCTTTTGCAACATTAATAGATTAAAGGATCATTTTAATTTGTACTAGTGGTTCCCTCACAACACTTTTTTTTCTTGGGAAAAGGGTCTGATATACCCCTCAACTTTATCATTTAGAGCTGATATATCTCGCATTATGAAAGTGGTTCATATATGTCCCTATTGCTATACAAATGACTTACATATACCCTTTTCTTCTAACGGAAGTGAAAATATTAATTTTAATTTAATATTATTTTAAAAAAACTATAATCCCATATGGGTATATTTAATCCTCCTCACACATAATTTTTTTTGACTTTTTTTTGTTTCAATGACTAATTTAAAGTTATTATTTTGATGGTCAAATTTATTTATGTTTCACTAATTTTCTTGTAAACTTTATTATAGATGACCCAATTTTTATTCAATACAAAAACTAAATAACAATATAGTCGAAAAAAATAGTTTTAAGTTATAATATAGCCACAAAAAAATTAGTTTTAAAATTTTCTCTTTACACTAAGGAACGAAAGAAAAAAATAAAATAAGAATAAGAAACTCAAAAAATGATAATCAAAGACTTCAGAAAATAATTTATGTATAAAAAAGATTAAAATATACCTTGAAATTTCCTAGAAGGGTCGTATGTATCCCTACATGATTTTTTTAAAATTTAAAAGTCAAAAACATAAATTTAAAACTATTTTTTCACTTCCGTTAAATTAAGGATATATGTGAGGTCATTTTGTAACAGTAGGGGTATATGTGAGCCGTTTGTATAACGGTAAGGGTATATATGAGTCATTTTCATAACGAGGGGCATATCAGTTCCAAATAGCAAAGTTGAGGGGTATATCAGACAATTTTCCCTTTTTTCTTTTTGATTTCACATCCGGTATCCGGTACCTACATTGAATCCCGACTAAATTCGGATTAGCGCTGGAAAGTCCCACAGTCCAGTATCCACACTGGAGCCCGACTAAATCCGGATTCACGCCGGGGAAGTACCACATTGGGGGTAAAACTATCCCTAACAAAGGCGACTCTGTATCCAAGGGGACTCGAACTCGAAATCCCTTGGTTAATGATAAAGGAGTACTTACCACTCCGCACAACCCTTGTTGGTCCCTTTTAACACTTTGGTGTTGCGTGATCCCGAAGAGAGAGCCAAATCAACACTCGACAAATCTTCAAACAACAATAAAAGGCAACTTATAATTAGGCCATACATGAATAAACACAAAGGACAGTTCTCCAGATTTAGAGAACTGTATTGAACAGTTACTAAATGTGACAAAAATGAGAAATTCACTAACTACGCACAAAAAATAAATTCAATTTGACAACCACCATTGACCAGTAAAATTCAACCGGGTTCATTTTACTCTTCCGCTTTCGCAACCAGAAGAACAAGTAAGTTTAATGGTGATTGTCACAATATGTTGAAGCAGGATTATTATATTTTCTCTATGTTGTTTATCTCTATAAAATTACACATAATATGTGTGTTTAAATAGAAATTATTAGAGCTAACTAATTATCTAATGAGCCTTAAAACACCTCTTATGAGTGGATCCAAGATTTCGAGAATTTATTATTCATAAAGTTCAAATTATGACTCTCAATACTAGTATAGTCAAATTACGATGAATCATAATTGTAATGATTAAAAAAAAAAAAAAAAAACAGCCGACCTTAATTAAACAAAGAAAAGCAGAATTGTCATTGCCGTGCCCACCACAAGCAAAAACAGAAAAAAGCTAATACATGCTTTAATGTACATGCAAATATAAAAAAGAGTAAAGAGAAAGAGAATATTGGGTAAAGAAATATGTAAGCAAAAAGAAATCAGACAAAAGAGCATATAGTATAACTTTTTCATGCGAGATTTGATTTTGCAGCTCTTTATAAATTTATTTTGAGTTAAACTTATACGCATCAACGGTGTAAACACTATCAAATAATTTTAACCTGACTCTATGTCTCTTACTTTGATTTTAAAACACACTTCACTCATCTCCCTTCTAAATCTTCGGACCTCCTTTTAACTATGAGAATATATTTTTTGACCAGAAATGGTATCAATAAATCATAATTTAGATAACGAATGTTCTACTTGTATGTTAGATTCTTACTTCAGTTTTCATTTTTATTTTTGTCTCTGTTTATTTGTTATATTTGGTCTTTCAAGAATCACTTATATCCATCTCTTGGAGTGAGTACTTATTCCATCAATGTGTAATTGAAAAACTTCTTTGTTGTACTTATGGAAGGGTAGATTTAATTTGTCCATTTTCTCAAAAGAAATATATATGGAAATTCATCGATTATTTTAAACAAAAATAAAAATTGTTGTGCGTAGAGTCACCATAAAGAATGATGCTCTTTCTTTTTCCAAGAACGAAAATTGTAGAATAATGGGGGGTTTTGAGACTTTTTTGTATTAAATCGTGATGGACCCATTATAGCGGCCTCCAGCCTGCTATATATAATGGCTTGCACGGAAATAACGACTCATAATTCTTCCCCAAAGTTTACAATATACCATCGAACCTTGACATTCTAAATGACCTTTTTATGCCAAGTTTGATATCGGGAGTTCTACTCACCTGAGTTCACTTTCAGAAAGCCCTAAGGAGTCTTTTGGTTTGAATACAAGTTATGATGAGATAAGTTAAGTTGAAATTAGTTATGATGGATAAGTTATGTTGAAATTATTTCTTATTGAGTGTTTGATTTGTTGTATTCAAAATAATATGCATTGCATAAATTTTAAGAGCATCTTAGTTGTTTATAAAAATGCCCTTCATGAATGTGAAAAGTAATGTGTTAAAAGGATTTAAAGGGATATCTTTGTCATTACCTATTTTATCCCGAGATAAGTTACCTCGAGATTACTATACCACTCAAGGGGAGTGATAACTTATCCCAGTATTAATTATTAATCCCGAGATAAATTATTCCAGACTTGCCAACCAAACAACAAATTAAGTGACACTATAATTTAATCTTAGGACTATTTGGTGTTATCTTTCACACCAAACGATCCCTTAATATCTTAGCTAATGGAAAATCCAATCCACACTTAGACATTAACCCCAAACTGTCACAATTCGAGTCTACACCCCAACCGAGACACGGTACTCAAAACCACTAGTGGCCCCAAAGCTAACCCTTGGCATAACATATCATATTGTTATACCTCATTTTAACCGGGTCAAAATAGTGTATAATATTTTGCTAATTCCTAAATCAATTAATGTCACGCCCCGAGCCTACACCCTGGGCGGGACCGGCACCCGAAGACCATTTCTGGCCCCAAGCGAACCCTTGGCCTGGCTTTCTTAACTCAGCGGAAACCTCAACAGAATAACTCAATGCAATGCAATATTACAAAACAACTTAACTTATAAAATATGGCCATAAAGGCAACTCGAATCTCAAAATAGAATATTTACATATATATATAGATGAGAGACTCAAAACTAACTGACTGACTGTCTGTCTATGAAGCCTCTAAAATACTGAGATGGATGTTGGGACAGACCCCGCAACATCCTAATAAAACAAAAACTAAGAACACAAAATAATTGAGTCCTCCGGAATGCAAGGAGGCTCACCACTGACTCTGGAGTGCTCAGCTGGATCAACGACGTGCAGGATGCTGATCCGGGGTACCTGTATCTGCATCGTCATAAGATGCAGGCCAACTGGCATCAGTACATGGAATGTACGAGTATGCGAGCTGGAAAGCTAAGCAACATAGGCTAGAAGGAAATCTGGAAGAAACTAAAATAGCTTACCTGGCTCAACTCAGCTCAACCTGACTGACTTCTTTCAATATAAGGCAATTTAAAACAAGTGCGATATAAAGAAAGACTGTTTAAAACATGCTATAAACTCTGTGTGTATACAAGGATACAATAAGCCTGAGATGTATATAGAAATACAATTGAACTGATGTATATAAAATACAATAATTTCTATGTATAAAAATACAATAACTGCTGTGGGAGCTTCTCTAATCGACAACCATCACATAAGAGCTATAGTGATGATACAACGATCGACATCACGCTGCCAGAGCATCTTATACCCGACCAAAGGTATAAGACCTGAACTGCCTAATTGATCCACTAGTCTAATCTGAAAAGGATTCATCTAAAAAGTATGATCCTTTTCTACCCATGGTGGCTAACATAGTTCTATGGGGGTTGTGGGTTCTTTGAACGCTCCCCCAATTCGGTGCTCGATACTACTCCCAAAAATGTACTGGCTCTTATGTTTTTAAAACACATTTCTTCCTGCTGATATGAGATAATTACTCAAAAACTAGCCCGAAGGCTTTTTTGGAAATCTCAGTTTCCAACCTTGTTTAAATGTAAAAACATTTCTTTAAAACTTCTTTGGGAATATACATAGTTCCCTAATAACTTTGAGAAAAGAACTCAACTTTAAACTCTTTACTTTACTTGAACTCTTGGCTTGATGTGAAACTCTTAACTTAACATGAAACTCTTAACTTTTGACTTGACTTGAAACTCAATACTTAACTTGGAACTTGAGCCTTAGAATGAAGTTAAAACGTTCAATGAAGACTCTTGGAAAACCTTAAAGACTTGCTTTGACTTACTTACTTCTAAGCTTGACTTCACTTGACTTGGAAACTAACTTCACTTGAATTGGAAACTAACTTCACTTGACTTGTAGCTTTACTTGACTTTTAGAAGTACCTTGGAGTGTTGGAAACAACTAGGAAACATAGGTATAATACCTAGGAACATGTATGAAAAAAATGGTGAATGAAAGGGAAGGATTGGTGTCCTTGGCACTAGGAGAGGTGCGATAGCCCAGCCCCTTTTTCCCTAAAAATCCGATTTTTTCCCCTTGTTTCTTTCCAATTCTAAACCCTCTCAACCTCAAGGTTTCAGCAGCAACACTTAGAATCATAAATACCCTTGTTATACAATAGATTCAACTCAAAAATCACAGCCGGAAAT